AAACATCTATACAGAAAACTAATGTTTGACAATGAATTTTACTAGAAAGACGTTTCTTCATGAAACTGAATTTATGCGTATGCTAGCCTATTACACCTTTATTCCGCAACCAATTTAAAAAACTTGACCTGAAGGGCGCATTGTGGAGATTTTCTCGCAAGAACATATTTCTAGGTTGAGAACATACCTCGGCCACTTGGAGAGTTTAGGCCTGAAATCTCCTTACACTAAGAAATCTATTGAAATTTGATATGCTTTAGAAAGCGCAAGAAAAGCACTTTCTATTCCCATATTAACAATACCGCATTAGAGATGAAATTCTCTCAGAACAGCTGCTTCAAACACGAGGCAAAAAAATCGGACAGAACTTATGCAACAACCTAATATAATAGAAGAAGTTGCCATGTCGGCGACATACTCACTTGCACGATAAAATGGGGGGGGGGCTGCAGCCACTAAAGGCGAACGAAGCTAGCTGTAGCACTAATCGATACTGTGCCAGTATTACTGCCCTCCAAATATGGTGGGAATCGCCACCACCTGGTCCTAAAGGTTAGAAACGGTGCTTTATGTCTCTTCATTTGAAGTTTTCCAGTTTGTAGTCAAATAGCACCCATTATTGACAGCGGGCCAAGAATGGAATTAAATCTGCAAAAAGTGACCTGTAAGATTTTCGAAAGTGAAACGAGATTTCGTTTGAAAAGTCAAGAAGACAACTTATGCAATGCACCCTGGTAGAAGCTGCAACATATCCTGGAACTCTCATATAAATCTTCATTAGCTCCGTGCGAGAAACAATGTTGAGGCAAGCAGAGGGAAGCGTAAACGATCTTGGTTTCTGTCAGCGATAATCAAAGAGGTTGCGGAGGGAGATTTGTAAGAAAATTCCTGTTCAACCATTTTCAGCCATAGAGTTCGATTTTCTTCAATGGGAGCAGACGTCACGAAAGGACTCTACAGACTTGGCGGCAGATATTACTTCCTTAGGTTCTTCTGTCAAAGAAAAATCAAAAGCTGTGCTATTATCGCCTGATGATCAATTTGAACAACTTACTGGAAATAGGTAATCTAGATTGCGATTCATACAGTAAACCTAATTTGAGTTCTGATTAAGCACAACAGTTACACCTGCTCGCGCTCGTACAGTGCGGTTTAGAGGACTTTCTAAATCACCAATTATCGAATTACCGCCATTGAGCATTTTGGGTAAGAAGTACCCAATCACTTATTCATAGAAAATCGTAATACTACACAGAGTCGACTACAAACGAATCATCAGCACTCAGTTCTGCAGTTTTCCGTCCAGGATCGGTAGACAGTTTGTAATTTTCTAAATTGAAGTCATACAGAAAAATTAAGAGAATGCATTTTATTATGGCATGCGGTCAAAATTATTACGTAGGTCTGGTTGAGTCTTCCTCTAGTTTGAAAGCAGCAGATATGTACATAATTCGATGCCGAATAAGTGCAAGCGAACCAAATCCACGTCAGATATCTGAAAACTGTCTTGCAAAACAAGTGTCTTTTGATTTTTGGCAAAAGAAGCATATCTTTTTAGCAGATTGGGGCAGCATCTTCGTACACGCGCCTACGTCTAAACTACCTCGTTTTCGCAAACCTCGGTCAACTAATTCATGTTGAACCAGTTTATGAGGATAATTATGAGGATAACGTCACTGTGGTGAACAGTCACATCGCTTGCGTTTACGTTGGTGATGGTACCAAGAGTATAGAGTAAATTCAATCAGCATGCGAAAGGGCTATCCCGTTTGAGCCGTTTCAGCTTTCTGGATGATCAACCAATCACTCTGACTTTCTTTCATTTGGAGCCATTTGTTGTAAATCCAAGCTGCGTATCTCTGGACAATGACAAGAGGTAGTTAGGAGATTCTACTTGTTCAGTTTGAGTTGTTTTCTAGGATGTTGAGCAACGAAACTTGCCGGCTTATTTCAACAAGCAAGGAGATGACTAAATGTGCTTGCACTCACTTAGGAAGGTGAGTAATATCATACTAATTTATCAGCATGTTGCAGAGATCTTTAGACCGTTTTTACGGGTCAACGTTTAAATGGCTTCCTCTACATCAAGCCTATCTATTTCTTCCAGAGTCTTGCATCAAAAATTTTAACGATTGAAACAATTGACTTCCATTCTCAAAGATTATCTGATTTGACATGTTTTGGGAAGAAGAAAGCTATATGGTGTGCTTTGAGCAAAAGCTAGACATAGCGAAGCAATGCAAGTTGGAAGGCATTGTCGAGCTTGAACTTGGCTTTTAGCTTGTTCGCTTTTCTGGGCTTGGCCGCTACGGTGGATCCAATAGTCGTTATAGAAAGCACGAGAACGGTAGGTACAGGCTTTTGGCTTTTCTCACAGCCTTTTACGAATCAGTGCGAGTGACAGTTCTTGCTAAGGTCAAGACGCAGACTTGCTGCAAGACCCTACAATTTTGAAGGCAGTGTCCTGGCAAAAAGTCGATTTGAGGTCTGTACTTACCGGCCTTTTGCTATGCTGAACTCGAAAATCCACACTGGAAAGCGCGAAAACAGCGAAAAAAGGTTTTAAACCCAGGGAAAATCAGCAAGTGGGCGCCTTCCTCATTGTGAATTCAGCTCCCAGCTTCCGGGACGATCTTCGCGGTTCCGATTTCAAGTCACGCGTTCGCACTTACAAGGGAAGGATACTTGGTCACCGCGGCCATTCATAATGATTTGTATATTAAAAATAGCCTTTTAATGCTGGTTCGAATACTGTCTTCCATATCTGCGAAACGATAATCTGCTTGGAGTTATGATTATTTTTCCTTGAATAAACTGCGTTACTGCGGAGGGTCAGAATCATCAATAAAAAATTTTCTTTTCTTTTCAAATGCTGAACATGATTTTGATAGTTATAATACAACAGTATTCCTTTTAAAAATTTCTTCAAAAGCTTCAAATTACTTACTTACTTAGTTACTTAAAGCTTCAAATGGTAACTTGAAACAAATTTGGTGATTTTAACTACACAAAAGAACGCAAATTTTCTACGAAAAAAAGTTCATAACTTCCTTCAGAAGATCGTTTCGCAGATATCGAGCACAGATCTGGAATCAGCGTTTCGAGGTGCATCTTACAGTATACATCGCATTCCAAATGGCCACGGTGACCGAGTATCCTTTCCTTGTTAGCCGGTAACGACGTCTGGACGGCTAACGGAATCGAGAAGATCGCTCCTGAAGCTAATTTTAATAAAGAAAAATTCAACGGCGATTACCGATACTCGCTGATTCGAGTACGCGATAACGCGGAAAGTATTGCGTTTTACGACGGTGAAAATAAAGAACACGCGCACCTTCAGGAAAAATTTCGCGCCGTTATTCAAAACCGTTGGGCGATTGTGCGGCAAATGCTGGGATTGGACGGATTTAACACCGGCGTTACTCAAATTGCGATGATTTTACCGTTAATGTTGCAGGCACCGCGTTTTTTCGCCAATAAAGTCACCTTGGGCGACATGCACCAAACCGTACAGGCGTTTAATCGGCTGATGCGTTCGCTGTCATTTTTCCGTCTGTTTTACGAAGAATTCACCCTGTATCAGGCGCGGCTAAACCGTCTGCACGGGTTTATGAGCAAGTTGGATTATCTCGACGACAACCAAATTTTTTCCCCCGTCGAATGCGGTTCGGGTATTCGTTTAAACGGATTTCGGTTTGTGCGATCAGCGGGGCAAACCCTTGTTACAACACATCAATCTCAGCTTAAAAGCGGGCGACGCCTTACTGATTCAAGGCCCGTCCGGCGCCGGCAAGACAACCCTGCTGAAAGCAATTGCGGGAATTTATCCGTTTGCCACTTTCGGTCATTGCGAACGTCCGTGCAACGCCAATATTCTGTTTCTACCGCAACGTCCTTATATGCCACAAGGCTCGTTGCGGGAGGCCATTTGCTATCCCAATATCGATCCGCATCACCCCGAGCTGGAACGCTACATGCAAAAATGCCGTTTAGAGCATTATATTACGGCGCTTGATCAGGAAAACGACTGGCAAGCGATTCTGTCTCCGGGCGAATTGCAACGGGTCGCCTTTATCCGGATTTTTCTGACTAAGCCCGATATTGTTTTCCTGGATGAAACCACTTCGGCATTGGACGAACCGACGGAATTCATTTTGTACGATAAAATCCGTAAAAAACTGCCGAATATGATTGTGCTGAGCATAGGGCATCGCGGCACCTTACACCAGTTCCACAATCGGGAATTTCATCTTTCCGCTTGTCGGACAGCGTAAAAAAACAATTAAAAAATCGACCGCACTTTTAACCGTTAAGCTTCTATTTGGGAAAAGTGCGGGCGATTTTTTCACGATTTTTTCGCCGGCAAGATCTTCGTTTGGCTTGCCAAAGAAAAAGGGAGCCGGTTTAATCCGCTCCCTTTGCACATTTTATTGCTCAATTATTCAACAATTAAAGTACGGCATACGTTGGTTGACGTGCCTAATGCGTCGCCTTGTGTTAACAACACCAAATCGCCTGAAACCAAGAAACCTTTCTCTTTCAACAGGTTAACCGCTTCCTTCGCGCTGTGTACGGTGCGGGATTCGTGTTCGAACAGAATCGGCGTGACACCACGGTACAGTGCGCATAAATTCAAGGTCGATTCGTGACGTGACAACGCAAAAATCGGTAAACCGGAACTGATACGTGACATTAAACGCGCCGTGCGACCGCTGTTGGTCAACGTAATAATCGCCGCAACGCCTTTCATGTGGTTTGCCGCATACATAGCGGACATCGCCACCGATTCCTCGATAGTGGAAAATTGAACATCCATACGGTGTTTAGACACGTTGATACTTGGCATTTTTTCCGCACCCAGCGCCACTTTCGCCATGGCCGCCACCGTTTCGGAAGGATATTGTCCCGCTGCGGTTTCCGCCGAAAGCATTACGGCATCGGTACCGTCCAACACGGCATTCGCTACGTCCATTACTTCCGCACGGGTCGGCATTGGATTGCTAATCATCGATTCCATCATTTGGGTCGCGGTGATAACCACGCGATTTAACTGACGCGAACGACGGATCAATTTTTTCTGAACGCCGACCAATTCGGGATCGCCGATTTCCACGCCCAAGTCACCGCGGGCAACCATAATCACGTCCGAAGCCAGGATAATATCATCCATCGCTTCGTCGCTGGCAACGGTTTCCGCACGTTCCACTTTCGCCACGATTTTCGCTTTCAAACCGGCCGCTTCCGCCAATTCGCGGGCGTAGTTTAAATCCGCACTTGAACGCGGGAATGACACCGCCAGGTAATCGACGCCGATACGTGCCGCGGTAATGATGTCCGCTTTATCTTTTTCGGTTAATGCGTCCGCCGACAAACCGCCGCCCAATTTGTTGATACCCTTGTTATTTGATAAAGGACCGCCCACCGTCACTTCAGTAAACACTTTCGCCCCTTCGGTAGACAACACTTTTAACTGAACGCGACCGTCGTCCAATAACAGAATATCGCCCGGCACCACATCCTGCGGTAAGGTTTTGTAGTCTAAACCGACCGATTCCTGATTACCTTCGCCTTTCGGTAAATCAGCGTCTAAAATAAATTTATCACCAATGCTTAAGAAAATTTTGCCTTCTTTAAACGTGGAAACGCGGATTTTAGGACCTTGCAAATCGCCTAAAATCGCAACATGTTTGCCTAATTTTTTCGCAATTTCACGAACTTTATTAGCACGACCGATATGATCTTCCGGTGTGCCGTGAGAGAAATTCATACGTACAACGTTCGCACCCGCGGCAATAATTTTTTCAAGGTTATTGCCTTTATCGGTCGCAGGACCCATCGTACATACGATTTTGGTTCTTCTTAATCTTCTAGACATTGATTACTCCGTCAGTTATTTTCAGTGATTATTCTCGATTTGATTCCGGACATACAGCTTTTTCGCCGCGGAAAAACTGGCGCATATTATACGCCGAATCGCGGGTAAAATCGAGATCGAAAACATACAAAATTTTTACCGCACTTTCGCGTCCGTCCGGCTTTCTTATAAAATCGAAAATTTGCTATACTCTCTTCCCGAATTCAGTTACTCAATAAGGATATTATCATGTCAAATTCAGTGATTACGGTTATCGGCAAAGATCGCATCGGGATCGTTTACGATGTCGCTAAAATTCTGGCGGACAACCAAATCAACATCATGAATATCAGCCAGCAGCTAATGGACGATTATTTCACCATGATTATTCTGGTGGATACCACAAAATGTCCGAAATCCTTTCCCGAACTGGCGGAAACCTTTGCCCGGGAAAGTCGCAATCTCGCCCTTGAGATTCGTTTGCAAAACGAAGAAATCTTCAAAGCCATGCACCGGATTTAGAGGTGAAAAATGAGCATTCAATCCAATGAAATTCTCGAAACCATCCGCATGGTGGCGGATCAAAATTTCGACGTACGGACCATTACTATCGGTATCGATCTGCATGACTGTATCAGCCGCGATATGGACCAATTAAACCGAAATATTTACCAAAAAATCACCAGCGTCGGCAAAGATCTGGTTAAAACCGCCCAAATTCTTTCCGCCAAATACGGCGTACCTATTGTAAACCAGCGAATTTCCGTCACGCCTATCGCCCAAATTGCGGCGGCGACCAAATCGGATTCTTACGTATCCGTTGCGCAAACTTTAGATCGCGCGGCAAAAGCCATCGGCGTATCTTTTATCGGCGGCTTTTCCGCTCTGGTGCAAAAAGGTATGTCGCCTTCGGACGAAGTGCTGATTCGTTCCATTCCGGAAGCCATGAAAACCACGGATATCGTCTGCAGCTCCATCAATATCGGTTCCACCCGCGCAGGAATTAACATGGATGCGGTGAAACTGGCGGGAGAAACCATCAAACGCACGGCAAACATTACGCCGGAAGGCTTCGGCTGTGCCAAAATCGTGGTGTTCTGCAATGCCGTGGAAGACAATCCTTTTATGGCGGGCGCTTTCCACGGTTCCGGCGAAGCGGATGCGGTGATTAACGTGGGAGTCTCGGGCCCGGGCGTGGTAAAAGAAGCGCTGGCAAATTCCCGCGCCACCACATTAACGGAAGTAGCGGAAGTGGTCAAAAAAACCGCTTTTAAAATTACCCGCGTGGGCGAATTAATCGGCCAGGAAGCGGCCAAAATGCTGAACATTCCGTTCGGCATCCTGGATTTATCGCTCGCCCCTACGCCGGCTATCGGCGATTCCGTGGCGCGCATTTTAGAAACCATGGGCTTAACCGTTTGCGGTACCCACGGTACCACAGCCGCCCTTGCGCTGTTAAATGACGCCGTAAAAAAAGGCGGCATGATGGCGTCCAGTGCCGTCGGCGGTTTAAGCGGTGCGTTTATTCCGGTTTCCGAAGACGAAGGCATGATCGCCGCGGCGGAAAGCGGCATCCTCACGCTGGACAAACTGGAAGCCATGACAGCGGTTTGTTCCGTCGGTCTGGACATGATCGCCGTACCGGGCAGCACGCCGGCCCACACAATTTCCGGCATTATCGCCGATGAAGCGGCAATCGGCATGATCAACGGCAAAACCACCGCCGTGCGTATTATTCCGGTCACTGGGAAAGATGTGGGGGAAAGCGTAGAATTCGGCGGTTTGCTCGGTTACGCACCGATTATGCCCGTGAAGGAAGGCTCCTGCGAAGTGTTTGTCAACCGCGGCGGACGCATTCCCGCACCGGTACAATCCATGAAAAACTGATTACCAACGGTTAGCTCAAAAGTGCGGTTAATTTTTTTAAAAGAATTTCGGTATTATGTAGCAGTTGTACAAAAGTCAATTTTAGGAAAATTTATGTAGGGGCGGGGTTTATCCCCGCCCGTAAGCCCTGATATTTGAATGAGATTCGGGCGGGGATAAACCCCGCCCCTACGAAAATATTAAATGTTTGTGCAACTGCTACATAATACCGAAGAATTTTTTGCCATAAACGCAAAGCGAATTTATTGCTCAGCAGAAGCCGTTAAATAATCGCGATCGGTTTTGTCGTTTTGTCACAAAAAACTGGCCAAAAACCGACCGCACTTTTATCACGATCAGGGTTTAATAACCGAGAGTTTTGCCGTCCGGATTACGAGGATCGGAATAGCCGTAAAAGCCGTCGGCATCCGCCTGAATAATCTGAATTCGCCCCATCGGCGCTTTTTCTTTAATGCTATAACCCATGCCTTTCAGCAAAGTTAAAGTATCCGGACTTAGCCCTTCCTCTACCCGCAGTTCGTCCGGCAACCATTGATGATGCACACGAGGCGTGACGATGGCTTCCGCCGGATTCATGCCGTGATCCACCGTATTCAAGATACTTTGCAATACGGTAGTAATAATGCGCGCACCGCCCGGACTGCCGGTGACCAGCCAAGGTTTAGCGTCTTTCACCACAATAGTCGGCGTCATCGAAGATAACGGACGTTTTTTCGCGGCAATCGCATTAGATTCGCCGCCGATTAAGCCGTACGCGTTGGCAACGCCCGGTTTAGAGGAAAAATCGTCCATTTCGTTATTCAGTAAAATTCCCGTGCCTTCCGCCACAATGCCGGTGCCGAAATTGGTGTTCAGCGTGTAAGTTACCGCCACGGCGTTGCCTTTCTCGTCCATCACGGAATAATGAGTGGTCTGATCGCTTTCATAAGGCTGCGGTTTACCCGGTTTGATGTCGGAAGCCGGTTTGGCGGCATTATCTTTAATACCGCCGATTAAGGATTTGGCATAATCTTTCGACACCAATCCTTTTACCGGCACCTTGACGAAATCCGGATCGCCCAAATATTCCGAGCGATCGGCATAAGCCAGTTTCATGGTTTCCGCTAAGGTATGAATCGCTTTCGCGCTGTTGACGCCGTATTCCGACAACGGATAATTTTCCAGCATGTTCAGAATCTGCACCAAGTGTACGCCGCCCGAACTTGGCGGCGGCATGGTGACGACTTTATAACCGCGATAGGTTCCCACAATCGGTTGACGTTCCACCGCTTGATAATTTTTCATATCTTCAAGGCTGATCAAGCCGCCGTGTTTTTCCATTTCCGCGACGATCTTAGCGGCAATGTCCCCGCGATAAAAGGCTTCAGCGCCCTGTTGAGCAATCTGTTTCAACGATTTCGCCAGATCCTTTTGCACCAGTAATTCACCGGCGGCAAGCGGTTCGCCGTTTTTAAAGAAGATCTTTTTGCTGCTTTCCCATTTGCCGAGAGTGTCTTTTTCAGTCTGTAAGGTTTTTGCTAAAGTCAGACTGACGGGAATGCCCTCTTCCGCCAATTTTATAGCGGGCGCCAACACTTTTTTCAGCGGTAGCGAACCCCATTTTTTCAGTGCATATTCCATGCCCGCCACGGTGCCCGGCACGCCCACGGCCAAGTGGGTATAAAGGGATTTTCCGTCGACTACGTTGCCTTTGTCGTCCAAATACATATCTTTGGAGGCTTTAATCGGCGCCATTTCACGGAAATCCACGGTAAAATCCTGGCCGGATTTGGCGTCATGCAGCACCATAAAGCCGCCTCCGCCAATATTGCCCGCATTCGGCAATACCACCGCCAGCGCAAAACCGACGCCGACCGCCGCATCCACCGCATTACCGCCCTGTTTCAGGATATCCAGTCCCACTCGGGTGGCAAGTTCCTGTTCGGAGGCGACCATGCCGTGTTTGCCGTAAATCGGATGAAAAATATCGTTTGCGCTGTCATAACGCTGACCGGCGGCAACCGCCGCATCAGGTTGCGCCACCGGTTGAACCGTCTGCGCCGAAATCGGCAACGAGGCCAGAGAAACCGCCACGGCTAACGTACTTAATAAGAAAGGTTTAATGAAGTGTTTGTGCATAATTTTTTCCTTCTGGTGTGATTGTCCGAATTTGACAATCTCCCTGAGATTATGCGATCAATTTGTGAAATGCAGGCCCGCTTTATCAAAAGCGATATTCGGAAAATACAAAAAGTGCGGTCAAAAACATTCACATTTTTTACCGCACTTTTATTTCGATCAGCTTGTTGCAAAACGAATTTTTATTGAATCAATAAATAGAAATTGCTGTCGCCGCGTACAATATTTAAAGCGACAGCGGACGGTTCGCCTTCCAGAATTTTGCGTAAATCCGCGATGGTCGTTACGGATTGACGGTTTACGCCGATAATCACGTCACCGGCTTTTAAGCCGCGCGCGGCCGCCGGCGAATAGTACTCTGCGTTGATACCACTGCTT